TGTGTGTATGTGTGTGTGTGGTGTGTTGGGGGTTGCTCACTGCCGAGTGATTTGGAGAAAGAAGAGGTCTGCAGTCATTGTTACAGGTCCAGTGGTGGTGATTGGCAGCTCTCGTCGTTGTAGAGGTTCTCAGTGAGTATCCATTCTCCTTAGGAGACTGCTGGTGATATCCCTGCCTGTGGCTGTGCTTCTTCCCCAGCTGTCAAGGCCAGCATTTTCAAATTTCTATGCTGTATAATCTCATCGTCTTCTGTGTGTTTTGTGATTTTTCTCCTGCCTCCTAAACAGTTACATGTGCTTTCACTTAGGACCTACTCAGATGATCCAGGATAATCTGTCCACCCCCCCACCCCCCCAACACACACAAAGTTGAATGGCTATAAAAATGCACCACATTGTATAGAAATCATTCCCATAATTTTGTGTTTCTGGAGCTTTAGAAGTGTCACTGTTTCTGCCCCACATCTTCAAATCAGCATTTTCAGGTCACAACAGTTGTCTCCAGTCTTTCCTGCTTAATACTAATATTAGTTTGGGATTTCTGGTCACAGAAGTTCCATAGGGATAGAACCCTTAACCCCCAAGGCCTGGTCCTCATAATGAACTGACTCAGTGAAGACGGCCCTGGGGGATGCTGTCAGCTGTCATTTTGAGTGGTTTGGGTTATTTCTTAGTGTTAATGTGTTTAGAAATGCAAGTCATTTTTTTCTTTAGTTCTTAAAATTATGAATTAAACTCTGAGTTTTACTTGGTTATTTTATTTCAAATACATGTTGGGTGTAGTAAGGCTTTTCTTTGGGCCGCCAGTTCACACACACGCACAAAACAACACAGAGACTTATTATTAATTATGGAAGCTCAGCCTATAGCTTAGGCTTGTCCCACTAGCTCTTACAACTTAAATTAACCCATTTCTATTCATCTACCATGTGTTGCCATGTGACTTCGTGGCTTTTACCTCTCCTGTACGTCTCTTCCCGCTGCATTGGGCTGTAAACTCCACCTTCTTTTTCCCAGCATTCTCTCTATCCTAAAGTCCTACCTCTCTCTCCTGCCTAGCTGTTGGTTGCTCAGCTTTGTATTACACCAATCACAGCAATACATCTTCACAGTGTACAAATACCCTACGACAGTTGGGATTCCAAAATTTTAATCTCTTATTCAGTCTGCATTGCTATGGTTTTAAAAACTGCCAGTTGGGCCGGGTGGTGGTGGCGCGCGCCTTTAATCCCAGCACTCGGGAGGCAGAGGCAGGCGGATCTCTGTGAGTTCGAGGCCAGCCTGGGCTACCAAGTGAGTTCCAGGAAAGGCACAAAGCTACACAGAGAAACCCTGTCTCAAAAAACCAAAAAAAAAAAAAAAAAAAACTGCCAGTTGGGTGGTGGTGCCCCAGCACTTGGGAGGCAGAGGCAGGCCTATCTCTGTGAGTTCAAGGCCAACCAAGTCTACAGAGTGAGTTCCAGGACAGCCAGGGCTACACAGAGAAACCCTGTCTCCAAAAATGAAACCAAACAAAAACAAAAAACAAAAAACTTTCAGCCAGCTGAAGTACTAAACTGAAGTGAGTGAGTTTATGTCCCTAATTTGTACATACTGCAGGTTCAAAAATATACAAGCAAACAGAAAGCATTCACTATTTTAGAATTATACACCATTCAATGAAATAATTGATACAACTCTATTTAGCACAGCTGATTGGATTAAAAACCAGTCTGCCAACATATGACTGCCATGTAAGAAGGCTTTTCCAAAGTTAAATGTGGTAGAAGGTTGGTGAAGGGGATCACGTTAGATCAACATGTGGAAAAGCTCGGAAGCTGAGAGCTTGGGTGCTCCCCTGGGCACTGGAAAGGTTTAAATTGGTATATATGTGGGACAGTTGAGAAAGTGATGTATGTGTTCAGGATAACCATTATAAAGTGATCACTCAGTTCTGAAGGGCAGAATTAGAAACTAGCAAGTCTGAAAATGGAACAGTTGGAGTAGTCGAGGTTGAGAATTGGAATAAGTATGGCGCCTCTACCTTGAGAATATTAAAAGTAATAGATCACCTTTGGTAGGGGAGGAGATTATTGACTTGGGGTACGGTAATACTGAGTTGGTAGAAACGGATTTTTGGTGAGTCAGTCCATTTTTAGTGGTTAATTAGTAATAAAAATGTTATATATTAAATTGAGGCAGAGTATTGATTCTTAAGAGTATCTAATGGTGCTTACCATGCTCTTCATACTTGGTTTCTGTTAACATTCATCACTGACATAGTCTGTGTCATTCTATTACCATAGTCTTTATTTTGGTATGGGCACAATGTTAAACACTGACCTGACCTAGAAGTGTGTTGTATTAATAAATATTCAACCTTCCTTATACCTGGGTTAAACCTTGTATTAAAAATATTTGGGGGAATTGTGTTTGTACAAGCTTGTCCAGATTTGTCTTTGTCTTCCTGTCAGTCTCTCAATAATGCAGCACCTATGTCCATAGCATTTACATTGATAGCATTTACATTGTTAGCATCATTTTTAGAAGTACTGTAATAGCGATTTAGAGTACATGGAAGAATGTACATAGGTTCCACACAAAGATTATGCTATTTTATATAAGGGATCTGACCAGCTGCAGATTTTAATATCTTGAAGGGTTTCAGAACTAATTGCCCATAATCTGAATTACCATTGCTCTGTTATTAAAATTAATGAAAATAAGTTACATAAAAATTTCCACAAAATATGTTTCTTTAAAAAAAATTTCTTTTAGATATATCAGTGTTTTTCCTGAATGTATGTATGTGTACCATGTGGGCAGTACCCACAGAGGCAGATGAGAGCAGAGACAGTTGTTGCTGCCCTGTGGGTGCTGGGACCAACCCTTGGTCCTCCCTCTGAAAGAGCAGCCAGTGCCTAGAAGCACCTGGCCATTTCTCCAGCCACCTCATTGTTAAGTTCCTGCTGGGGTAGATTATGCTCTCCTTGAAAAGGCACTTAATAGTTTATTGACCATTGAAGTAGTTTAGTTATTGGACACTTTGAGATGTTTTATGAAGAAAATAAATTTAAGTTTCTAATTTAAAATAGTGTACTGTAGATAGTTTTTCCTGTCTGAAAATGAAACAAAAAACTAAGTGATGGTTTTTCCATGTATTCTTTTAGGCTTGCTTTAATTTTGGATGAAATTATTCTTGCATCGAGATGTTAATAAGCCAAAATTTAGGTAAGTAGACCACTTTATTGAATGTCATCATTAGAAATAATAAAAAATAGTTTATATTTTGAAAGCATGCTGACGGAGTCTAGAATTAAGAAGTTTTGATAAAATTTTGCAGTATGCTGTATTAACTTTTTGACCAACTTGTTTCAGTTGATATAATAGGAGTAAAAAGCAGCCATAAAGTGGTGAAGCTGTAGCTGTGTGTCTTATTTTTTATTTTTTGGGGGCCCACCACCCAGCTCCCAAATAAATACATGGAGACTTATTCTTGTGAATGCCTGGCCTTAGCTTAGCTTGTTTCTAGCCAGCTTTTCTAACTTAAATTATCCTGTTTCTCTTTAACTACATTTTGTCTCTGGCTTTTTACCTTTATTTATTCTACGTATCTTTCTTTTCTTCTTACTCTGTAGCTGGCTGTGTGGCTGGATGGCTGACCCTTGGTGTCCTCCTCTTCTTTTCTCACTCCTTGCTTTCTTTCTAGATTTCTCCTTCTATTTATTCTCTCTCCTTTCTCCTGCCTAGCTATTGGCCATTGAGCTCTTTATTAGACCATCAGATGTTTTAGGCAGACAAAGCAACACAGCTTCA